ATTTCTTCATGTTGTAGACAGTCTATCTCACCAAAAAATATGTGGGTTTCCAGTTTCCCAACCCTACCTAGCTTTTGGATGCCGAAATTCCTACCCTAAACTTTTTTTGGATGATGCTTGTAAGTGTTTCCACTTAAGCCGGTTTTCCACTTGAAATGTGGAGCATTTGCTCGCAGACCAGAATTTTTCTTTGTCTTGTGATTTCTCATGGTGGAACTAATTAGAAAAGACCATAGAAAGTTTCTGCTGCGCGTGCAAAATAGTGCTTAGTGGAAAACCAGCTTTAGAGGAGAACATTTGTGGAAAATGGAAATTTATCTTTTGTTAAGAAAATTTAAAAAAATGTTAGAACCGACCTATTCTGAAAAATGTTAGAACCGACCTATAGGAAACCCACATTTTTTGACGTCATCCATTTATTTTTTAATGTTGAGCATGTACTACCTGTAAACGTTTTGCGAAGCTGAACTGTATTGGCAGAGGCAATGTAATATATTCCAACAACTGTTCATGCCTCGAATATAGTACTTTATAAATACTGTAGATTAAATTATTCCAATTTTAGATTCCCAGCCTTCACATCTGAATTGGTAGTGCAAAGCTTCCGGGGCAGTGTCGTTCGTGGGAAGCCAAATGAAAAATTAAACAGCTTTATTCAACGAGCAATTTCTGCCGGAAACACCCTTCTAGAGCCAAAGATAAAAGTGCTAAAGATGAACTGCTTAGAAATGACCAATTTGACCAAGGAAGTTCCAGATTTCAAGGGTGCTGGGTTGGTTTTTCTGGACATTGCTAAGGCAAGTTACTGGTAGTTCATAATTATCAGTTTTGCAATCAGTCGATTTACTGACTGAAGTAACCTCGAGTGACAACGTTCACTTTCTTAACTTGAACCAGGAGTTAAGAAACATTTTCCAAAAAATATTGTGGTTGTTAAAACTCCTCGAATATAAGCCCCCCCTGTATAAGCTAACCAAATGTACTAACGCTCACCTCATTCTAAATATAAACCACACACACACCTGAATAAAAGCCCACCCCAATCACAAAGTAAATACAATACAGGGGTCTCACTTCTTATTTATTTCAACATAAGGATTTTTTCCAGTCCCTACCTTATCAGAACAGTAAACTGTAAAAATTATCGCTTTTCAAAGACTGTCATGTTCAACACTCGAGACTGACTGACATGTTCAACACTCGAAATGGATATGGTATTTCCGTGCACCCATGTATTATTCTATATATATACTTCACCAATATAGTTTGAAATTGCACAGATTTAACCGCCCTTTAAAGTAATTGGTCGGTTTTAAACATTTTATAGAATTGGAGTGAGAATGAGCTGCAAAAATTTGTGATGTTGGCGAAGAGCCTAAATGTCGCCATTGCGTGGAGGACTTCAAAATTGTATTATTTCCAACCGCAGAACGGGAAGATTTAATGCTAGAGCATTTGCAACTTGCAGCGAATGCTCTAAAGAATATTGATATGCTCTGGAATATGATGCTCTTCCATGATGCCTCAGAATCAAACCAAGCTGTGTAAAACAAACAAAAAAACGGACTATTTCACATTGCTTGACAGTGACCATTGTATAATTGTAATCATTTGCTGTTATATGTTTACGGTATACACAATATACATAATGCACTGTTTGCGCTTAGGAACCGGAACGAGCCGTATAATATCTTGTTTGTGTTTGGGACCTGGACACAAATCCCATCAAAACGAGGTTATTTTTTTTTGTTATAGGAAGTTTATTGAAAACGACTGTGCTGCCATTCATTGTTAGTGGGTCAAAGAGTACACTGGTGTCCTCAACAAGTTTCATAAAAGCACCAGCGGATCCTCTCGCCAAGGAGAAAGACACAAAAAGTGTATACACAAGGCACAAACCTATTGGTTTGTACAAGAAGCTACTTGAGATCTTTTGTGCAGACAAAACTTTACATTCAATCGATGCGTGCAGTGGAGCTGGTTCCTGTGGATTGACATGCGCAGATGAGGGATTGAAATGCCTGATTGTGGACGAATGTGACGTCAAGATTCGATTAATCAAGCAACGTCTTCAATTGTAAAGGAAAGGTGAAACGTTCAGTTTTGCAATGCACACTTGTTTATATTTTTTATATAGTTATAGTATTTTTCTACATGTATATTTATATATCTACTATATATTTATTTTATTTATATATCAGTATATTTCTACATATATATTGTATCACTTATTGTACATTCTAAGATTGATTATGGATTTAATTACAATATTTATTCTTCATAATTATATATTTTGCTAAACAATTGTATGACAGGTTTATCCTTTTATCATTCTAACACTCTTTTTGGTCTTTGATGCCTCCAACACCATTTTAGTTTCAGATGCGTCCAACACCATTTTGGTTTTGGATGTATCCATCACCATTTTGTTGTTGAATGCATCCAACACCATTTTGGTGTTGGATGCATCTGAAACCAAAATGGTGTTGGATGCATCCAACACCATTTTGGTTTTGGATGCATCCAACACCATTTTGGTTTTGGATGTATCCAACACCATTTTGGTTTTGGATATGACTAACACTACCTTGGTTTTGTTGAATGCATGCGTGCTGCACCATTTCTACATACTCTGAAATACCTTGGTCGTATGTATAAACTTGATGTTTATTGAAAAAAACTCCTATTTTCTCTTAGTAATGTTTCTTCCCACAAAAGTTTGGATAATATTTTATTGCTGTTCGATTTTTATCACAGAAACCTACCAATGTCGACATTGGCACGAACTTTAGAATGTTATTCCTCAAATATATCCAGAGTTTTATGAAAGTTTGCTAATTACACAAGAAATGCCCGAATTGTGCATGACATAAGAATTTACTTTCTGGACATTTTTATTCAAAATCATAACCATTCTCATACAAAATACGTTTATACTTTTTCCATACTGCAATGCAGTTGAAATAGACTTTTCGTCTAAATGGTTGGTTTAAAATTTCTTGTTAAAAGAATCGAACATTTGAAAATATTGCAACACAACCGCGGGGATGTTTTGAGATTTGCAATTTTTGGCAATTTTTATCCAAAATTTTCAACATTCATTGTCAATTCTTCATCAAGTCGTAAGATTTGTCTAAATTTGAGCTAAATAGAATATGCAACCCTATCGTAGAACGTGTTTTAATTACGCAAGTGATATTGGAGCTTTTCTATATCTCACAGTTCATCTCGCGCTTTTATTCTAACTTCTTGAAACTTATATATTTTATTATTTCCTGCCTAGGCATAAACCTAAACTAAAAATTATCCTGATCACTTGAAGCAAACAAAATATTGTGTATTTTTAAAAACGTTTTTCAGACAGCGGATTAAATATTTGTGTTAGTATGCTGGCGGTAAATTGTCTTTTCTCAAAAGTGCAACGGTATCAGGTATCCAATCTATTGCAGCTACTAAGTATTATGACACATCTACTAGAATAAAGAATAAAATCTTCGGGCAGTGTGTTTTTCACCTGACAAGCGGGTCATGAATATAGTCAATTTTCGCTAATTCGACTAATTATAAGCTATAATTTGTTAATGTATTTAATTAAATTTTTCGCGTTAGAAGCGTATAAAATTGTTCATTATGTTTCAAATATGGCTGTTTTTTGGATAGAGACTAAGTTATAAATATGCCAACATTTATGCTAGCTCTATAACATAGAGCAAAAGTCTTGACGCATGTGCCGACTGAAATTGACATGCAGGCGTTGCTAATTATATCCGCCGGTATTATCTTTGTATGAAAGCACTATAAACATACTGATCTTCGTAACTAAAACTATACGCCCCGATTTCCTCAGAATGTACACATCTATCACAAGAGAATATTAGAAGAAAGTATGTTATACAATTTATTAGAGAGTAATGTTTTTCGCGTGAAAAGCGGCTCATATATAATCCACGTCATCGCTTGAAGTCGGTCAAGGAGTATAAATTTCAAGTTTTACTTCGCTTTCTTAACAGTATATTTACATCGTAAAATCTTAACTCGTTGAATTGGGAGTTAAAATCCCCCAAAGAAAAGTAAAAAAAAGGGGCCCAAATATTTTCCGGCAATATAGACCTACATGAATCCCGTACGCCTATGAGTGTACTACAATACATTTATATTGCTCTCATGTGCATAGATAGTCTCCTATGCAGATCTACTTTAGCGGGTTTGGGCCCGCCACGTACGGTCTGCTTACTTTGGCTAGCAATTCGCCTTCCCATTGTATTCATTAGCCAATAGCATTCAAATACACTAGACACGCCCACTTTGACTACCAGCTGTAAAGTGTAAACAAGGAGCGTGCGATAATCGGATAATAATATATACGTATTTAAATGGCCATAAATGTGAACAGATCGAGTTTTCTGATCAATAGCAGTCGAAGTAGAAAATATTGAATATTTTTCCAACGAATGTACGCGATAGGTCGAAGGCTTAAATGTATATAAAACTATTCACTGGTAATACTTGTTTTGAACTTGACGCGACTGCGTGACGGCATGTATATTCAATATATAATACTATAACTTTCCGAACGTTCAATATCGGAGCGACTTCTGTAATTACGATTTTATTAAACTTTATTAAAATCAGTAATAATTCACGAGGAAAATACAAAAGAAATGAATGTTTAATCAATGTTTGTAAATCGGATAAACATTTGTCCTGATTTACATATTAAACTTCAGCTTTGATTTTCTCGGCTTAGACAATGTTTATTTTTAAAATTACTTCGCCAATGAACTCAAACTCGCCTTCGGCTTGAGTTTGTATATCAGATACAGATCGACTGCTCATGTTTTATCTAGTACTTATAAACTGGCTAGTCATATACAAACATAGAAATCGAAATATGCAATGAATCAATTCAGTATTTTATATAGGCTGAATTCTGTAATCAGTATTTATAAATCTATTATCTACACCCGCAGTAATGTACGTACACTGTAAGTACTAACTTTATAACTTTGTGTTCACGTCTTTGTCCAGTATATATTAATATTACCCGCGTTACAGTAACCTGCAAACGTTTGACGCTTGTAAAGGAATCAAAACATCGCGATATATTTTAGGTGATATTGTTCGATTTTACTACACCGTCTGTTCAAAACAATAGCTCGACAAATTCTAACAGATTTTACAATTGTTACATATGGTAAATTTGTAGACTGGTATACAGTATATGTATAACAAATATATCTCTCAGCACTCGCAGATAATCGGTTTAAGATAATAATAATAATAATAATAGTGGGTTTATTAATACACGTTCAATAGCAAGCTAAATTACAACGTGTTTACATCGTCAGATATTAATTAGAATTAATTAGAATTATTACTTATTTAAAACTATTTACATCAATGGACCTATATGTATATTAAAATCGTTTATATATATATATATATATATATATATATATATATATATATATATATATATATATATATATATATATATATATATATATATATATATATATATATGGAATTGTATAAAAATGTATATAAATCTTACTTTTCTAATTTAAAATTATATTCATTAATAGCATGAACTACAGGGCTGTTTCTAAAACGTTCAGTGTTGCAAAAAAAGTTATAAATCTTTTCACCATTTGTCCTAGTCTCTCTTTCCCTGATGTCACTCAGTTTCTTTGGCAATAGTCCGTGAAGTCTGTGTGATGGTTGTAACATGTTCTCAATTAAGGAGGCACATAAATTGTTTCTGCGTTCTTCTAAGGTCAGCAGATTGCTCTGAGATAATAGAAGTCCATAATCACAAAGGCCAGGATAAATTATTCGGAGGGCTCGTTTTTGGATTCTTTCTATGTTTTTCTTATGCATTTGTGTCAGACCACCACTCCAGATTTGTGCACCATACTCCAGAACAGAACGAATTACTGTACAATAGAAAGCTAATAGGTCATTTTTTGGTGCACCATAACTCTTTAAGATCTTCAAGAGGTAAAGTCGCTTAGCGCCTTTTTTTACAATATACTCAGTGTTGGTTTTCCATCTCATGTCATCGTCTATCCATATTCCTAACAATTTATACGACTTTACACGGGATATTTTATCGTCGCCAATATTAATCAGTGGTATTTCTGTTTTCTTCTTCCGAAAATCAATTAGCATTTCTTTACATTTTTTCCATTCAGTTCCATACTCTCATCCTTTGCAAATTGCACTACGTTATTTACACTTCGTTGGGTGTTACCAATTGGGCTACCAGATGAATGTTGAGTTATGGTAATGACTTCGGACAATGTACTATCATCAACGAACATAGCTATATCTTGATCATCAGATGCTTCACATATTTGTTCCTGCTCATTAGGTATAGCGACTTGTGGGAGATGGTTAATTTTTAGGATAAATGCTATTGGACCCAGCTTGCTACCCTGTGGGACTCCACCCCTGATCTTTCGCAGGTCTGATTGCTCACCTTGAAATGATGTAAATTGCGATCTGCCATGTAGATAGGACGCAAACCAACCCACTAATGCGGGCCGTACACCGATTCCAGTGAAGGTCTCAAGAAGCTTGTTGTGATCTACAAGATCAAACGCCTTCCGAAAATCAAGAAAAACAATTCTAATGACCTTTCCTGGAGTGTGCATTGCCGAGTGCCATTTATGCAGTAAGTAGATCAAGGCTTGAACTGCAGATGTACCAGGAAGGCCGCCAAACTGGAATTCACTAATTTTTTCCCGAACATCTTCATAAATCCATTTGGTGGCGTATGACTCTTGGACTTTGGACAAGGTACTTGTTAGTGCAATTGGTCTCAGAAGATCTACTGAACAGCAAGGCTTGATCTTTGGTATTCCACACACCTTGGATACTTTCCATATATCCGGGAAGAGCCGACAAGAAAAGGACTCATTAAATATGTGTGTTAGAGGCCCTGCAAAGTATTTTGCAAATAGCTTGATTATCTTTGTGTTAGGGTCAAAGGGACCCACTGCTTTGTTTACTTGAAGGCTGCTTAGCTTGTTCACAACGCTGTCAAACGTAATATATGGTAAGGGTTCATAGGGTCCAACATGAAGCCATTCACTTCTTACTTCTGAAAAGTCGCTAGTGAGGTTAGTAAAAAAATCGTTCATGTGACAAGCGGTCTCTTTCGGGTTTAATGGAGCCTCAGTTGCAGGATTAATGAGAGTAAAGCCTTGTTGTTTCTTTCCAACTATTTTTTTAATGTTTTTCCACCATGTTTTGGGATCTTGGACACGGGCAGGTTTAATCTTTTCGTGGTATAGTTTGTGTTTTTCCTTTCGAATTTCCAAAACGATTTTATTACGCAATGATTTAAAATCGTCAGTTCTTCCCCGCTGATACAATTTGTCTCTTTTGGAAATCATTTGTTTAATTTTTCCAGATATAAACAGTTTATCGTCCTCATGCACTTTAAATGTTTTCAACGGGAAAACAGTATCAATCATCTCTGATGTAACAGACAGAAAGGCATCTACTTTGCCATTTATGCAAGGAGAGTTATATACCATTGGCCAGTTTTGCTGGCTGATAAGATCTTCAAATAACTGAAGACTGGAGTTCTTTATCGGTCGAGTAATGATTTTCCTTGTTATGTTCTTATTCACTGTTCGAACTCTTGGTCTCCAAACGATCATGCAGTGGTCAGAACTACCAAGCGGGGCAAGCACCTCCGGTTCCTCATATAAAGTGTGAACGTTGCTAAATATAAGATCAAGAATATCTGTTCCCCTTGTTGGTTTCTTCACCACCTGCTTTAATCGGCAGTTGTTCGTAATTATCTTCTCCTGAAAACCGTTGCTCACAGAATTGAAATCCCCAGCAACAACAATTGATAGATTCGGACTTTCACTTGTAAGCGCATCGTAGCAGCTGCAGAAATAGTCGTAAAATTCCTCAATAGCTCCAGAATTTAGCGATGGGGGTAAATAAACGCATGCCAAGGCAATTTTTGAGATTGATCTGGGGAGCCATTTTGGACGTAGTATGATCCATAAACATTCATAGTCCGGACAAGTAAAATCATGGCGGATTTTAAACGGGATCGTATCCTTAACGAAGACAGCCACACCACCACCTCTCATATTAACCCTGTCATTCCTTATTACACTGAAGCCTGGTATGCCCGGAAAATGTAGTGCTTCGTCTGGGATAACATCGGAAAGCCAAGTTTCAGACACCATTACTATGTCTGATTTTTGATTGTGAATAACAAGAGCCAGTTCGTCAGTTTTTGTTAAAATAGATCTCGCATTAAGAGACAAGATATTAGGTAACACTTGTTTAGTCTTAACTGATTTAAGTCTAGGAATTCGAATCAGATTACTGCAGTTCCTGTTTACCGAAGAAACAGGATATTTCTTTTTTCTCGGTTGCACAATGGTTGGTATCGGTTGTTGTATTGTATAATCATTTTCATGGTTATTGGTTTTTGCACAAATTTGCGCTAAACCAATGTTTCTATTCGTTGTAAAGGAAATGAAGGATGGCGGGGTAACTTGGGTGGATTTGTCACTGTCATGCGAACAAAATTTAGATATGCTTGCCACTCCTTCATAAAATTCCCAAGTTTTGTCCATGGATAATGAAACCGGGGGGCTTGTTGAAAAGGGCGCGGATAAATATGTTTCTCTTTTGCTTGGTTTCTCGCAGTCTGCGTAGAAGCGGGTCTTCTATTATATTTATCGGTATAGTTGCCATTATGTACCTGTTGGTTCTTCCGGTATTTACTATTTCCTCGGATGGTTTTCATTTTAGCGTTTGGTGGGACGCGGTACGTAATCCTAGTTGGAATAGGTTGGGATTCTTTATGGGTAGGGGGAATAACTTTGCTGAACCTGGTCAATCGGTGGTTCGATGGCTCAATGTTTTCATTAGCTTTGGGAGGCATGCATTCTTTAGCTGGTAAGGGCTTACGTTTTGAATTGTTTCCCTTGTCGCAGACAACCGCCGGTTGATTGTTTAAAGAGGGACTGCAAAATACGGCAGTTTCCCTAGAGCCCTCCATGGGGACACATACTTGGTGGTTATTTACTAGGGAGCTGATAGTAGGACCATTAGTTGTGCTAGGGGCTTCGTTTGAGACAGTTGAGGGCAGGTAATATGATAGAGTGCTACTAATAACATCGTTGGTTTCAGCGTTTTTAATAACGTTATTAGATTTATTCTTAGGAAACGCTTTTTGTTCGAGTTCCGCCAGGCGTGACTTTAGATTTAAATTTTCACTGGTCAATTTACATATATCCTGTTTACATCTGTCAATGGTTTCCCTCTGCTCCGAAAGTTCGAAAATCAGGGCTTCGACCTTAGATTCAAACTCCCTTTTGAAAGTGCCAGAAAGTTTCTCTATAGCAGGCGAGTTGTCACCAACACTCGGGCGAGACGGGGTAGAACAATCAAAGGTTCGGGTAGAAGATAAATTGGCATTATCACTTAGCGGCAATATATTTTGATATGAAAAGTCGATAAAGTCTTGTAGATCTTCAAGGGTTGAGCAATCTGATGTTGTTTCTGTTACCTCGCTTTTAGATCTAGTATTGTCGCTAATCATAGATATTTTAGCTGTTTTGGCCACGGTTTGACTTGCATATGAAATGTTCAAGATATGAAATGTTCAAGATTATAAAATGTTTTGAAACTTTTGACGACTCAAGGTCAAAGTTGAAGCCCCACAATTTTCGTGGGTAAAGCTGCGATTGGCTAATTTCGAGGAAAGAAGTTCTTGGCCAAAGTAAGCATCCCTTACGTGAGGGCACAACCCGCTAAGTAGGTATGCGTAGGAGACTAGTGCATAGAGAGACAAGGTACGAAATAAGAATCTATAAACAATTAACTTTAATACATGCATGGTATGGTTGGGTATACGAAAACGTTTTGATGTAAAAAATAATTTTCTTTCTTGTTGCTTTGAGCTATTAGCTGGCTATATTAAAACCGACGAAACAAGTAGTAAGCGCACATATTAACTAAGTGAAAGTGAAACTTATTCTCAAACAAACAAATAAATGAACCAAGACTGCATGCCGTAATCTCTCTGAAAGGGCGAAGCAGTAACTAAAGGGTGTATGGAATCCAGGGTATCCTAAATCGTAAGGTGTCTATTTGAAAATCAGGGGCATGGTTAAACATTTTTCTAGTATGCGGACGTATCCATGCACATGCATGGTTTGCGCTACTCATACGTTTCTCTCATACGCAATAGTGTGACAGGACCTTAACCGAGATCAGCATGTAATTGCGGATCTTAAAAACATAAAAAATATTAAACATGTATAAAATATTTGTTTAATTTTAGAGTGGCAAAATAAATCTGCACTATATGCTTATATATGATGAGAAAAAAGTGCTCGTTGAAGGCAATCCTATAAATTGGCACACATATGATATATCCTTTCCCGCACTTTTCTTATACATTTTTGTTTATACTATATAGCCTACCATGCATGTAGTATTTAATGATACCCATAAACGTAAATTTTTTACGTTAATTGCTGGCATATTTATAACTGACTCCCTATCCAAAAACAGCCATGTTTAAAACAGTAAACAGTTTTGTATGTTTTTAACGCGAAAAATTTAAGTAAATACAAAAAGAAATTATAGCTTATAATTAGAGAAATTGGCGAAAATTGACTATATTCATGACGCGCTTGTCGGGCGAAAATCATACTGCCCAAAGATTTTATTATTTATTCTAGTAGATGTGTCATAATACTCAATAGCTGCAATAGATTGGATACCTGATACCGTTGCACTTTTGAGAAAAAATAATTTACCGCCAGCATACTAACACGAATATTTAATCCGCTGCCTGAAAGACGTTTTTAAAAATACACAATATTTTGTTTGCTTTAAGTGATCAGGATAATTTTTAGTTTAGGTTTATGCCTAGGCAGGAAATAATAAAATATTTAAGTTTCAAGAAGTTAGAATGAAAGCGCGAGATGAACTGTGAGATATAAAAAAGCTCAAATATCACTTGCGTAATTAACGTTTTAACTTGTTTTCGAACGCGTCCGAAAATAATTGTGAAAAAATTTTTAAAACTGACTACAATTTCAAAGTCAACGTTTTTTGTTCATCTTATGAATATGACTTCTTCCACGCAGAAAGTTTGAAGGAAATCTGTAATCTTAAGAAATTCGAGTGGTTGGTTTTTACACGGACTGCCTCTTAAAAGCCGTGTCGACGTGAGCTGTGATGTTTCCTAACAGAACAAGAAACGTCTACTCTACCGTAAAATGTAAATGAGAGCAAATTCATTTGAAAACCAAACTGAAGTTGCTCAACAATTTGTATTTATTTTGTTTTATAAACTAAAAACTTGTACAGTTGTATATCGGAAACGCAGTTTATAGATTAATATTAAAATGAACATTTCAAAAACATTTTACGAAGCGATTCGCGTTAAATTTTACATTAAATCAAAGCTCACAAAATGCGGAACAACATACCTATAGTACATATTTCAGAAATTCATTGTTATATAGTTAAAAGCAATAATTTTCAACTATTTGTGGC